CAGAACCTGAGGTGAATAATTGTTTTAGTATAATTTCATAGCTGAACAACAGAGAATTTTCTAAAATCATAACATTTTAGTAACATTTATTAACATTATTTTTATTTTAACATTTTATATAAACTGTGTGGAGCGGTTTATATAGCGTCATATAAGAAACCACTCGACCAATCAGATTGCTGGAAACTCTTTGCTCAGCTCTGAAATTATACTAAATTCCCATACAAAGAATATTCTCCAATAATAAGCAGACTAAAAATTAAGAAGTAAGATTTAAATGTGGCCCAGAACTAACCTAATTAAGTTACATACTAAAATTGACACTTAAAATTAAGCTGTAAAATTTAAATAAGGCCCAAAGCTAACCTAATCAAATTCCATACTTGTCACTCACAAGTTACACCTGGTTTAAAATTGACACAAATAATCTAATAGACAGGACTTAAAACTGCTGAATGAAGGTGCATACATAATGTTTGTTGGAATACTATTCCAGTCTGTTATGTAGCAATTGAAAAATGAAAATTTAAAGTAATTTGTATGTGTCTTTTTAAGTCTTACCTTAAAATTAGGGTTCCTACGCATTTTTGCTAATACAATCATTCATGATCTCTTTGGGATTGATTTTTTTCTCATCTTGGTCTGGAAACTAGCCATGAGGTTATAATTTTCTCCTTTTTATACAATATTTCAGATGTGGGGAACATACCTTTCTTTATGACTTCTACTAAAACTTGAAGTAATTGTCACCTGTGAAGCATGTATAACTATTCAAGATTATTTCATTTTCTCTTGAAACTTCATAAAAGTATCTCTCTAATAAGTGTTCGTTATCAGGTCATGAAGAGGGAGGTGACTGTGCTGTTATAAATTAGAGCTCTTTAGCATTACCTTTCCAGTGCTATGCGAATATTGCTAATAATCTTTGAGATACAGTCAAGTACATGTAGTTGTCTAACAGAAGTATTTTTATTTTCTAGTGGTGTACTTCCCAGTTGAAGTATGCTTGTAGTGCGCTGGACACAGTCTTTGCTGATTTGATCACTTATCTTCAGAGAGGCCATAAAAATCATGCTGCCCTCCCAATTGTGGCAGCCATGCAATCAAGAACAATGTACCTACTTGAAGTAGTCACAACAGATAATAAACCAAGCTCACCAGGGAATAAATTTCCTATGTTTATGGAGGCAGTGAGACGAAAGACATTTTCATCATGGCCTCATAAAGAGTACAGGTAAAAGTTGTTCCTTATAGTTCTATTGGGTTTTCTGTCTACTTGTTCTTAAATTGACACAAGAAATCCTCTTCTCATGCATGTAGCTGATAAAAAACTTTCTTTAGAATCAATTCAATAAACAGGAAATTTACACCCCATCCCTTAAAACAATTGTTGAAACATTTTTGCAACCTCCTCCCCTTCCATTGTCATTTTTGGGATTGAAAAAATTGGACCTTGTAATTGTTTTTGCCATCCAGGTGGGTGTTGCTGCATAGTTTCCTCTATTTTCTTTCATTGCATTAAACTCTTCCCCCTCCCACCCCCCTCACTTTAATGATGCCCAGCCTCTGAAAAAAGTGAATGATGGAGAGTGAAACAATAAGTACAACTGGACTAGAATATTTTGAGGAGTGTATTTTTTGTAAGAAAAGTCCTCTTCGAGTTTTCTGTTCAGGTAATTGATAAGAATATCTTATTGGAGCTAAGCCTCTTCTGCTTCAGATGTTTGGAATGTGTTTTTTACTTGAAAAATTTATTAGTCTAACAAATTTCTGTCATTTGTTATTTGCTGTTTTTCTGTAACTTTTTGGGTGATCTTTTCCCAAGGTGGGCATATCCAGAAGCTATGGCAAAAGCTGGTTTCTACCACCAGGTAAGTTAGAAGCATTTTTGGACTCAATTATCAGGCAATCCTTGTAGCTATTTGCTTGGAAATGATCTCACCAGTCCAAGGCTGGGCTGTAAGGACAAAAAAATCCAAGAGGGGAACTGCAAGGATCACTGGTGATTTCAAAATGCCTAAAATAAATTGTAATAAATTATCATGTGTACAATGGATAATTATTTTCTTTCTTTTCATTTTTTCTGTTGCAATTTTTTTTTTTAAACTCTCACAGCCTAGTAACCGTGGTGATGACAGAGCTCTTTGTTTTACATGCAATGTGTGTCTGGTGTGTTGGGAGCCAACAGATGAACCCTGGTAAGATATTGTTACTTTTAAATACTTTACCATTAAGCCACAGAGACTATATGGGCAGCTCGGCCATTACTACAAATAGGTTTATATGAAACACATGTGCTTCATATTGCTAGGATCAGCAGTGTCTTAAAGCTTCACATGTATGTGCTGAAGTAAACTAAGAAAGATAGTGATTTTTTTCTCCTTATTGGCTTATTTTATTGTTTAGGTCAGAGCATGAACGGCATTGTCCAGAGTGTTCATTTGTGAGGGGAGATCATACCAAGAATGTTCCTATGTCTGGTTAGTGATGACTGCTGTAACATGTAGATAACATAATCATTGGATCAACTATTAATCTCCTGATTGCTATTTTTCTTTGTTCTCATCACTTATCAGCTTGATTTTGAAGGGATATGTATATTGAAAAGAGAAATTCTGTCTTGATCACTCATGAGAGTTAAAGGGTCAAGTAAGACAAGGCAGTTCCTTTTAAGAATATGGTAATGACCTGGCTTGAAGAAATTTTCACCAGAGGAAACTTCAACCATAGCTTGTTGATGTTCACCCATACATGTCCATGGTTCTAATGATTGACTTTTTAATGATATTTTCCAGTTTCATTGGCCACTGCTCCTGCCTGTACTCATGAATCAGCTCAAATTCAAGTGAGTTTCAAGTTTCAAGTTGCAGATAACATGAGTTCTTTACACAATGTACGGTATATCCCTTTCAAGATGTCCCTAGATGATGCTTGGGGTAAATCAAGATGTACTATTTGAGATATATTCAACAGGAGTTCATGATGTGGGAGGAGGCAGGATGGCTGAGAAGCGAAAGACACTTGATTAGAAATCAAGTTTTTTTTTCAAAACCTACCCATAAAAACTCAATTGAATTTATTTTCTCAGTAGCCAAGAGTTTGCCTTCTCCTCTGGGCTATGTGTAATATGGACAGGTTTGCCCCACACCAGCTGGAATTCCTTAAAAAAAAATGTTATAATTTCCTCTTTTTTGGTGCATTATTTTGCTCCTAATTAGTACAGAGGTGCTGTACTAATTCAAAATGCTGTTCAATTGACCTTGTTGATTTATTATTTATTTGTTTAGTCATTATTTAATAGGTAGAACCAGTAAATTTGAAGTTTGGAAACAGATGTGTTGTTTTACTTTGTTAGTTCATCAGTGAAAGTTCATGTTCACACTTCATTGCAACATGCAGTGAAAATGGGCGTGTCATCATCTGGGACATTCAAGGTGAACTTAAGGTAAAAACAATGAACTTATCAAATGTGATACCCTGGATGAAATAATAGCTGGATGAAATAATAGCTGGATGAAATAATAGGGCTCCTGTTCCAGTGGTTAATCTCTGATCCCCAAGAGTGGCCAGCATCTAATTTCTCCTGACAATATAACCCCTGAATCAAAAACAATTAAGGTCACTCGTAAAAAAAAATAAGTACTTCAGTTTGATTTGTAGAAAACCTGAGGAAACTTTCCCTTAGATGTAATTTTGTTTGGCAATGGAAATCAAAAGATACCAGAATTGTTTGTTTTATTTTACCCCAGATCCATACTGAGTTTCAGATAAGTCTGCCTGATGATGATGTTGAAGAAACTCCAGAAGACGATTTGCCATCAGAGCATTTTTGCCCTCCTACAAGCTTTGTGGCTTGGGCTGAGCCTGACAATGAAGACATGGAAGGTACCAATAATGAAGACATGGAAGGTACCAATAATGAAGACATGGAAGGTACCAGTAACGAGCCAGAGAAAGATTCAAGAACTGCAAGTGATCCATCAGACAGTGGAGTAGCTGAACTCCCAGAAGAGGAGGAATCATCCCATGAGATTCCAAATGATGACTGCAACAATGGACAAGGTATTTATCTTGAATGTACTTCAATACTATCACCCTGATTGGTGAAAAAAAAAAAAACCAAGGTTTATTCTACTGTTAAACCTATAGAAAATTTAAGTTTGTAAACTACTCCCCTCCAGCTTGTGATTTACAAACTTTTCAGGTGTTCCCCCAATTTTCCACCCCAGTGAAGTGATAGTAAGGGCATTGTGCGGCTTAAATTTGCATCTCTCCACTCAGGAGAATATAACCACAATTAAATCAGGGACATTTGATAAATTACCTGGGATGACTTGCAATGGAGAAGAATTATGTTCAGAAAGAGAAGCAACGTTTTACAGTAAGCTTCTCAAATATAAAGCCAAAAAGTTGTTTGACCCTTTCACTCCCAGGAGTGACTTGCAACTTATTTCTACTTACAGTATCACATTGCACTATGAAGCAGGCAGGTAATGAGAATAAATATATCTTATTAACCAAGGGCGAGGGC